CCGACCAGTGGGTCTAAAATACGTTTGCTCACACCTAATTAGACCATATTACTAAATAGAAACTATTAAAAACAAATAATTTATATTAATATTAATATATTATACACAAAATAAGTGGCCCATCATAATCATATTATCTATAAATTAACATAATTACAAATAGAAACAAATACCTACCATATACTAAGGGAAAAATCAATTATATACATTCACAAATTTACAAATTTGTGACTATAAAAATTAAATTATCTTCTGAAAATTTCGAGATTGACTTAATTTAAAAAAAAAAAAATTGAATACTCTTAAGAATTTTGACATTAGGAAGAAATTTTATTTCAAAAAATAATTAAATTAAAATAAAAAAACCTATTTCTGATTCGATTTATTGAGTAATCACGCCCACCAATGTGAAACCAATGGCAGTTAGATATGATCAAATAAGGGTAGATGTGTACATTATGTAAAAAGTTTGTTGGATGTCTATATTAACCACTCAGTACTCCGGTCTAGTGATATCTCTCTCCATTTGTAAATGAGAGATCTTACAATCTTAATTCAATTCTTGCAAAAACGAATTTGAACCACATTATTGTTGGCCCATTATGAACTAACACTATCAAAAACCTTTCTTTTGGGCTTTTCTTATTAGGCATACAAGTAGAAGAATGGTTAAGCTTTGAGATCAAATCTTCTCCATACAAAATCTTTTGTGACATCTTTGTGACATATCTCATTTAATAACATTTAGTCATTCATTTAAACTTCATTTAATAATGTAAACTCTTTAACTTATATTTTTAATAAAAAGTAAAAATTTAAAATTTAAAATTAAAATGTAAATTAAGTCAAAGTTCATAATTATCTTACCAGTCTCTGCCTCACTCAAACTAAGTACGCCTTGGATCTTCTCAAGCGGATTCACATGTTGGAGGCTAAATCTTGCTCTACACCTATTGCTGCGAAGAGCCGAATGTCCAATCACAATAGGACACCTTCAACCGACCTCTCTGAGTATTGCCATCTTGTTGATTCTCTCTAATACCTCACTTTTGCTCGCTCATGTCTCGCTTATACTGTTAGCCGTGTTTGCTTGCTTTATGGTTACCAGAACCAATACTCATCTCATTATTGCAAAGTGTATTATTTGTTAATTGGAAGTACCCTTTATCTTGATATTTCTTTTCAAAAGTTCATTGGCTCGCTCCAACTTCAGGCTCTCACAACTACAAAATAGGTTGGTTGTGTTTTGTTCCAATTTTGAGTTTGAATATGATGCACTGGCACATGCTTGTGCTGAAATATTATCACTTTCTTAGGTATTATGTGAATTTTGTAGCAATGATTCATTAACTTTAACTCAATTCGAGTAATGGTTCCTCAACTAAAAATTCATTACCATTGGTCCCTCAACTAAAAATCTATTACCATTGGTTTCTTAACTTTAATCCAATTAGAGAAATGGTCCCTCAACTTTAACCCAATTGTAACAATGGTTCTTCCAACATAACTCATTTTGACAAAATTCTAACAAAGTTGACGAAAAAGACCATAGCTACACGTTTTGATAAGTTGAAGGACCCCAATTGTAGCCATGGTTATTCCAACATAACTTATTTTGACAAAAATTTGACGAAGTTGAGAAAAATGACCATAACTACACATTTTGATGAGTTGAGAGACCAATAGTAATAGATTTTTAATTGAATGAGTATTACTCCAATTTGATTAAAGTTGAGTGACCATTGTTACAATTTACTTAATATTATAATATTTGTAACATTCTTACGTCTGTCAACTCGAATTTTCATACTCTAAACATACTACACTTGATTATCGTTCACGAGCCTTTTAAAATGATAAGGGATAAAATGACCATGTCATAACCCCCCACTAAGCATTGGGCCTATACTATATAAATACGGGATTTGTTTTTACCTTTACCGTAACCAGTTTTTTAAAAATCAGCGCAACTGCCTAGGGCTGAACGGCAGAGCTCCATTGTGGTTTTGGTCAAGACATTTACGAAAGCAAGGAGGAAATAGGCAGCTGCCTAGGCGGCAATTGAGGCGCTGCAATTTAAGATTCAGCATATGCAAACATTTGCATCATCGGTTCACCACTGCAAATTTGCAATTTTTGACAGTCAAGTTCTGTAGAAGGTGGGTTGTGGTTCTGCACAGACCTCACTTGGGTGAGAATAGGAAGATAGGAGTGAAGGTGGGTTCTTCAAAGAGTGCGAGAGGACGATGGGAGTAAGTTGCAGAGGGTGAGAAAGAAGAGAGAGACATCGACTCACTATCACCATTTTAAGAGAACAAAAGGTGGGGTGGGTGAGTCAGGGTGACAACTTATGTTTTGTGGTTAGGGTTTTTTTTTTTTTTTTCAATTAAATGTCAGTTGAAATTCTTTTAAGGGTGTAGTCAAACTCGGATTTGAGAGGATTTTAAAAGACTTTGAAATCCTAGTGTAGTCAATTAAAAGATTTTAAAGGATTTTAGAATCCATTCAAATCTAAGTGTAGTCAATTAAAGATTTTAATGGATTTTAGAATCCTTTCAAATCTAGGTATAGTTAATTAAAAGATTTTAAAATCCATTAAAATCTAAGTGTATTCAACAAATTAAGATTTTGGAGGATTTCAATAAGTTGTGGATTTTGTAGGATTTGAGAGCTATAACCAAGACTAAAAAGAATCCAACCTTACCCCCTAGGATTTCAAATCCTTCCACCACAATCCACCACTATCCATTCAAATTCTTTAAAATCCATATGAATTTTGTAGGAATCTTTAATCCTCTTAAATCCTATAAAATCTATCATTTTTAAAATCCTTTAAAATCCTTTAAAATCTTAGTTTGACTACACCCCCTAAATCAGGCCCAACCTTTTTTTTCAAAGAATAGATGGCCCAATGGTAATTTAAATGTGTTTGTCTGTTTGTCTTAAAAGGAACTCTATAAGACCACCTCCAATGGTGGGCTAAATGCTAAATGCTAAATTCCCCCCCCCCCCCAAAACCAACTCCAACCCATGCTAAAACATTTGGCTAAATGCCAAATGTTAGAGCTGGGTCAAATACCCCCCAGATCCCCTGCCCCCCCTCCCCGTGCGACTGGACTCACTGGCCATTGGGCCAGTCTCGGCCCATTCACGCTCCAACGCGCCACACGCGGAGTGCCTGCAATTCGTTCCCAATAGGGGTAGGCCCCGTTGTCAGCAGTTTGTCGGCCACCCAATGCAGTCCAACGGCTACATTTTCAATCCGATGGCTGGTTTTCACGGACCATTGGTTGATCCAACGGTCCAAATTCAAAATTGATTTTTTTAAATATGTTATTTTAAAATACATTGAATCCAATGGTTGAGATCAAATATAATCAAATCTGACGGTAAAAAAAAAAAAGATCTAACGGCCCAAATTTAAATCCAACGGCTAAAATAATTTAAAAAAATTATTTAACTCAAAATTCACCCAACTCTATAAATACCAAACATCCACACAAAACTCAATTTTCTCTTACAATTCTTCCAATTTATCTTTCTACCATTTCTTTCCATTTCCAAATTGTTCAACATGGCAAGAGAGCATATTAGAGGTCGTAATTGGACCTGTGAGGAAGATGTTGCTCTATGCTTGGCATGAGTTTCTGTTAGCAAAGATGGTGCAGTTGGCACAAATCAAAATAAGAAAGTTTTGTGGGATAAAATCATTGCAAAGTTTCAAGAAAACTCCAACGGCGGTGGGCGGGATGGTGGTGGTGTTTAGGATCGGTAAAAGACTATCAACAAAGCATGCACTTTATGGAAGGGAAGCTTGGAGAGAGCCGTGGTTGGCATGGCTAGTGGAAGGAGCGCCACAAAAATTGTGAGTTTTGTTTTTGATATTTTATTTGTCATGTACATAATATTATGTTGCAACTAATTATTTTTATGTATTTTTTGCATAGGGTGACAAAGCAATGGAAATTTACAAGACAAGAGTAACACCAAAAAATCAAGTTTTTAAGTTGCAACATGCTTGTGACGTCCTCAAGGATTGTCCAAGATGGGGAACCGATGCGGACCAACAATAGGGAAGATTATTTCAACATGCAGATGCATAGATAAATGTCGGAGATGAAGGCGTCAATGAAGGTGTTGATGAAATGACCCCATCTCCTTCTTTTGCAAGGCCCCTGGGAAGAGATAAGTAAAAGGAAGCAAAGAGAAAAGGGAAGTCCTAAGATTCGATGAGTGGACACTTTGATATCGAAATTGCAAAATTGAACGAAACTCATAGCGCTCGCCAAGAAGAAGCGGCCCGAATGTGTTTGCAAATGAAGGAAATCTCAGATAGGGAGAAAATAGGTTTGAATTTGAATTCATGATGAAGGACCTCAGCAAATACACTCCAGAGAGGAAGAAGTTCTTACGTGGTAAGCAAAAGGAAATTATGCGAAAGTCTGCCTCAAGGAGTATGCTTCAAGATGATGAATCCTCTGAACCCTATATCCCAACATTTCAACGAAGTCCATCACCAAGTGAAGATGTTGATATGATTGTTAAGTTTATGTAGTGTATGAATTATGTGCTTTATTAATTAAGTTTATTAATTGTCGTTGGTATTAAGTTTATGTAGTTTATTAATTATGTGGTTTATGAATTATCGGTTGTATTAAGTTTATGTGGTTTATGTACTTTATTAAATTTATGTCTTATTATTCCACACTTTGATGTAGAATAGATGCCTTCAATAATTCAACCTCCATTCAATAATTTATTCAACGTACTAGAGAAAATACTTTGCACAAGAAGACACTTAAATTTATTACTAGAAAATAACAACATAGTACACTTAAAATTATTGCATAAATGCTTAACCAACATCATCAACGTTCACCTTCTCGGTGCCATACATACTCAACCAAATCCTTGCGGAGTGTGTCATGACATTGAGGAGCTTGAATTCTATTTAAATATCTCTTATACTCACTCAAGGTGACCATATCCTATTGGGTCTCCTATGTGGTTGGAGCGAGATATTCAACATCTCTTGCAATAGCTCTCGCATGTGTTGGTTGGTCATCATCCACATCTTCGTCTGAATCTTCTTCAATTTCGATGTACTTATCTTCCACAATCATGTTATGCAAAATTATGTACGTCATCATGATTGAATGGAGGTCTTTGGACTGCCAAAATTGTGCAGGCCCTCTAATAATGGTCCATTGAGCTTGTAGGATCCCGAACGCTTTCTCCACATCCTTCCTGTAAGACTCTTGCCTTTGCGAAAATAATTTCTTCTTTGCACTATTGGGATGAGAAAACTTATGACAAAGGTAAACTAACTAGGATAAATACCATTAGTTAGGTAGTAACCTAGCTCATACCTATTACCATTTACCTTGTATCGAAATTCTGGTGCCCATCCATTGACAACATTATGGAACAAAGCAGAAGACCAAAGAACGTTGATATAGTTGTTTGATCCAGGAGCCCCGAATAAAGCATGCCAAATCCATGTGTCGTAAAACGCCATAGCCTCGAGTGTGATGGTTGGCTTGTCATGACAGCCTTTGAATTGGCCAACCCAAGCAATAAGACATTCTTCCACTCCCAATGCATACAATCGAGACTTCCTATTATGCCAGGGAAGCCTCTTTTGTCTGCCTTGCGTAGAAGCCTCTTCAAGTCTTCACGATTTGGGTTGCGGAGGTATGTGGCTCTATATATGCCTTCAATTGCCTTACAGAAGCGCTTCCGGTTCTCAATAGCAGTACTTTCTACAAGTTGACAATACTCGTTAGTTGAGTCTACAGAGCACCCATTAGCTAGCATGTGAAAAGCAAATGTGAGCTTCTGATGAGGTTATAAACCTTGTCAGCCTACGACATCTAGCCTCCTTGCAAAGTAGTGGTCATGATTGACAACTGCATTCAAGATGCTTTCAAAAAGCTCTTTACTCATCCGAAACCGCCTCCGAAAATCATGAGCAGGAAATCTCAGACACTCGATGAAATAATTTTTCATCATTTGGTCATGACACTCTTCTTTATCACGTTGCACATATGAACGCCCCGTGACAGAACTACGATGGCTAGATTCACCATGGTGCTCAGATTGCATAAACGAGTTGATAAGTTCAACTTTGGCGTTGAACAATTTTGCATCCTCAATCTCAATCCTTGCTTGGTATTGTGCCATCTGCATTGCCATGCTACGCCTTATTTTATCACCCATTGATGAGATATTGAGGATTTTTAGGAAACAAAAACTCTTTGAAAGTTGAAAGATTGGTCAATATAGAGGATGATTGAAGGTTGAAAGGTTGTGTGATCAACAAATATTGGACATATGTTTTATATAGAGGATGATTGATGAAAGTTGAACGGTTGGTGAAAGTTGAAAGTTTAGTGTTGAACGGTTAGTGAAAGTTGAAAGTTTGGTGTTGAACGGTTGGTGAATTGAAAATTTGGTGTTGAAGAGTTGGTGAATTGAAAGTTAGCCCAGGGTTGAAAGATTGATAAAAGTTGAAGGCTTGCTTTGTAAAAAATTTAGTGATTTTTCAATATTTATCGGAATTTAAATTTTTTTAGATTAAAATGTTCATAAAATTAATTTACTATAGTCTACATATTTATTTATTTTTAATTTAATTTAAGAAAAAAATAGCCTAAGTTCATTCTTTAATAATCCCGAGCTAAAATTTTAGGCAAAAACGGTTGAAGTAGAAAAGCTGTTTCTAGGCTAAAAGCTAAATTTTCTGCGCTAAAATATTTAGCTTTTAACCCAACCATTGGAGATGGTCTAACTTTACATAATATTTAAATTTTATAATAAATATTTATTTATGTATTTATTTATTTTTCATTTTATCTTTTCTAAATGTTTAATATAAACATGCACTTATTTATATATTATATAATAAATTTATTTATAAAAATAAAAATCTGTCTAGTTTGTCTGAACGTCTAAGCCCAAATCTGTCGCTCGGCTATCGTGAGTGTTTTTTAAAATCATGATCATAATAATGACCCAAATATAAGGGTCTTGTTTTACTTTTATCTCAACCCAAAAAGTTAATCATCCATATTTTCCTTAAAAAAAAGTGAAGAAGTTTTTGATGTGTTAATATTTTTATGAATAATATAGAAATTAAAAACAGAGGAGAAAGAGAGTAAAAAACATTTCTAACGGTTTAAGGAGGGAGGGGTTGTTGTGAGTGATTGGTCTCGTGGTGGTAAATAGCGTGCAAAGATTTGGAACCCTATTCTGCCTCCTGCCTCTGCCCGCTAAACTCCAAACTGCTAAGGAAGATCTCCTCTCCACCACCACCAAAATTATCATCTCATCTCCTGGAATTTGATAATCGATTCGGATTACGGGATTTGGGATTAGGCACATCCCTCTCTTACAATATAATAATATTTTAGAGATTGCCCATCCATCCCAGGCACTCATTATTATCAATTATTTATTTTTAATTTATTGTTGTAAATTCCAATGGCAATTGCTGCTGTGCTGTGTTGTGCGTCGTGAGTCTTGAATCTTAAATCTTGAAGCTGGAAGAAGAATTCTATGTGTTGATTGCTTGACGAGATAATCACCAAGGCACAACTCAGAAGAATTGGCTAGACTGCTACTGCTAATCTATCTATCTTATAATCACAACAGACAATTGGACCAAGGAAGGAGGAGAGTCTGACTCTGAGAGATGGGTGCGATCAAGGCAGCAGCTGGAGACGCGGTGCTGACCTTCTTGTGGATTTCCTGCGCATCCACGCTTGGCCTACTCACGACCCTTATCGCTACTGCCGTTGGCGTTCAAGCCCTCGCCTGGCCCCCTCTCTTCATCACCACCTCCCTTGTCTTCCTGCTTGTCTTCGTCTTCACCTTCATCGGAGACTCCTTGGGCGGCGCCAGCTTCAACCCCACGGGCACTGCCTCCTTTTACGCTGCCGGCCTTGGCTCCGACAACCTCTTCTCCATGGCCCTCCGCTTTCCTGCCCAGGTGAGGATGTAACCGCTCAATCCTGTTCCTTCCTTAATCATAATAATTCAGTTGATTGATTACTCTCTTTATTCGATCTTTACTCAATCTGTGTTCAATTCAATTCTTTCATTCCATTTTTCATATGAAAAATAATTCAATTTCAATTGGCTGCTCTGCTGTTGCAATTTAACTAACAGAATCTACTCTCTCTTTCAACAAAGAAATTCACTTTTATGCCTCTCTCTCCGCCCCAACTCCGAACCATAATATGTGTATAAACGAAACCCAAAATGGTATGCTTAAGTTTAACGTTGGACTCTACACCTTCCATTCCACAGGCTTTGGGTGCTGTGGGTGGAGCACTGGCCATTAATGAGGTCATGCCGCAGCAATACAAGCACATGCTTGGAGGCCCTTCCTTAAAAGTTGACCCGCATACTGGCGCTATTGCTGAGGGGGTCTTGACTTTCATCATCTCCTTTCTTGTCCTCGTAATCATACTCAAGGGTCCTCGTAGCTCATTTCTCAAAATGTGGCTGCTCGCTGTGGTTACTGTTGCATTGGTTGTTACTGGTTCTGTGTATACCGGCCCTTCAATGAATCCTGCCAACGTAAGTAAACCATGTCCTTCTTTCTTTTCCACCCATACCATATATATTCCTTGCACTGGTAGGAATCGTATTAAACTTAATACAACATCACCATTATAGTGAGGATTACACTTTTACCAAATGTGTCTATTATGCTATGTGTCTTCTTTTTGACCGCTTGTATTGGCGATTTATATCATACAATGCGAACTTATGCTTGAAGAAAATTTATTGTTTTTACTTGTCGATTCTTTGCTTGCAATTTTCCTACTATTAGGAATGAACCTTGCATACGGTGATGAAATATTTTGTATTGTAGTATTGAGTACCCTACATCCCTTTGGTGAACACAACATTGCTATTATGCTCCTCGGCTTTATGTTTTGATTGTAACACAGTTGTCAATATATGATCTATGGGATACATGGAAGTATGAGAATGATATCTTCCTATCTGTAAACAGGATAATAGACACAAGTACAGTAAGAACAATATAGAAGATAGTGATAGGAAATAGAGAAAAAGAAGAAAAAAGAAACATAGACCCCCGGTTGCCAGACCCTTTCCCAATTTACTAGGTGAGGTCTTGAGTGAGAATCATAATTTCCCCATTGAAGTTCCTTTTGGCTTCCATCATAATCCCCTTCCATTTTTTTCTAATAAATCTTTTAGTTATCACATCTCAATTTTCCTTTTGAGGACTAAGAACCTCACCTTTCTTTTTCCCACATTTGTCTGGTGATCCCTCTTCTCTAAGAAATCTCCAGCCAACGTGCTTTTTGCACTTCTGAGGGGAGGAAGATGGAGGCTTAAATATAGGAACATGTTTGTTTTCTTCTAATCGATTAAGTACGAATACTTGACATCTTATAGAGTTTAGAAAACTTTTTATATCTGTTTCTATTTCTATTTCCACAATCCGTTATGGCCAACCTTCCATCATAAGTTTGACAAAGAGAACCCTTGATTTTATCCTTGACATCTTTCCCTTTCATGGCGTTAGTTGTTTCAAAATTCCGAGGATAGTAATATCTCTTTGCAAAACTGAGAAAACATTGAAATTTAGTTGTTAAAGTAAATGTGCAATGTTTCCTTATTCTTTATAATTTCCTACCTTCCTTTATATGAAACCATTTTCCCATTTTGAAAAGTCATGTCGCAAAAGGTTGTAGGGCTTGGTGGAGGCCCTTTTTTGAGTCCAACTAGGTGAAGCGGATTTGGGGATTTCTGGGTACCAAAAAAAAAAAGTCAAGGCACAAAATGATATAATTTTCTCAAAATATTTAACCATGTCAGTGGTTTCTAGACGTTTACAGTTTAAACAGGTGCAGTCGGGGTTTATGAATGAAATGCAGATTGAATAGTCTAGTGTGAATGCATTATTATTGTCTACTTGGGATGCTTTTTTCCCACCTATTCTTCTTGGGATGAAGAGAGTAAGATGTATTAATTTGCGTTCTTACTTCAGTTAAAAAACGCCACTGTTCTGTACATTAAGCACAACCCAAGGAGAACATCCCGTTAGGCATATATTTGAGTTCTCTTGCAACTGATGATGATTTTGCCTCTCCTTAATTTTGAATTTATATTGCTTCCCTGGTCATTTGCAAGCAAAGCCGTTGTGTCCAACAAAATCATTGATCATTGAAAATACTTAAATCAGACTGACAGATGATTGAAATGATACTGCTATGAAATGATGATTTCTTAATCGACAGAAAGATGTTGGCACTTAGTTTGGAAAAGTTTTGTGATAAAGTATATGGTAAGCAGGTTCAAAAGAGACAACCTAAATCATACTGATGAAGTTTTAGTTTAGGTTAACTAGCCTATTTTCCTACACTATCTATTGACCTCATTGAAGGGGATACTGCGTCGGTTGAAGAGGACTGTTAGGTTTGTTGTCATCTCCTACAGAATTTAATTTTGGATTATTCACAGTACCACTATGGATATATGAGAAGGTCAATACCAGTCTTATTTTCATTCCCATGGGATGTGATTTTTTCTCTCTCTTTTTTAACATAAGACAAGTTCAGATACTAATGGTCTTCCCAAACAAGCACATTTATGCATAAATGCTAACTCAACTCAGCATACAAGTTTTGATCATTTGTTGTATTCACACAGTTGCTTATACGGTAGGTTCTCTTTATAAAAGGATACATGTGCTTACAATCTTGACCATTTGAAATTTGGATTGGTCAAATCTAGACCTTCCATAGTTTAGGTATATTCTATAAGTTTTGTTGGTCTTAAGCCGAATGAGCATAGACTGATCGATGATTCATTGTTTTTGCTATTCCTTTGTGGGAAGAGAAGGCAGTTTTTTTTGTTGAGTTGCCAGATTACTTTGCATGGTTACTAGTGGCATTTACCCCCATGGTGTTTTGTCTGATTGAATGGTTTTTAGAATGTGAGTTGTCATTTTATGATGGAATTGCATTTATGAATGAGAAGCGAATGGCTAGTCTAGGAAACCAAGAACCCTTCAGGTATGTGTTGGAATTGAATTATTTATCATCATCTTTTTTTTTTTTGGCACAAATTATGCCTCTCTTTTCTTGATCTGCTCCTGCTAATCTTCGGTGTCATTTGTTTTGAGAAAAAATATGAGATGGTTCGTTTAGTTG